TCAAAAAGACCATTTCAAGATCCACTTGGGATACTGCTGTTGAGAGTGGCATGAAGCAATCTTCTAGGAAGTTCTCTCTCTCTCAGGTATATAGAATTCCGATGTTGGGACTGGTTAGTTTGGCCATTCTACCAGGCTCAAAAGGAGCCCTCCTAGAGGCTGAAGGAGTCTCTCTGACTGCTGGCTAAGAACAACATGCTGCTGAGAGAAACACACTCCTGAGAGACACGCATTTACTAAGAGATGCGAGAGACACATGCTGCTGAAAGAGATGCAAGAAACACACGCTGCTGCGAAATGCAAGAGACATGCACTGCTGAGAGAGACACCCAAGACATATGAGCTGAGAGAGAGACTAATGACTGCTAAGTGAGATGGCCAGCTACAGGAGACTGAGTGCATTTCTGAACTTGAACGGTAGCCTGTTTCTTCCCTAATAAACCCCATAATATGTGAGTTCTGTGTGGCCACTGTAGCAAATTATCGAACCCAGCAGAGAAGTGGTGAGTGCTGCAGGAGGAATGATTGATGTCAGGGTTGGTGAAAAGGCTGGAGGGAGGCAGCATGTGTGGCCTCAAAGGAATAAGCCTTGGGCTACCGAGTGTGATTCTGTCTTCCTCTTGTGGGGTTAGAGGAGGTCAGAAGATGAGGCCTCTTTGGCAGTAACTAAGACAGTGAATGAACAAGAAGATGGGAAAGTGGAGCAACACACATACATAGACAGAAATTATTGGCAATGTCTTAAATTCTTGGGCTAGTCAATGTCCATTATATTATGAGAAAAGGAGGAGGAGAAAGAAAATAAAATACAGCCAACTGTGTACCAATCATGAGTGAACCAAGGATTATAATTAATCTCATTCAACCTATCTGAAGCCCAGCAAGGAGGGAGTGAAAAAAACATTAAATAATAACAAGGAAGGATTTACTATTTTAAATCTACACAGCAATTACTTGTGGTCTATTTGGTGAAATTTTCCCATAGTCAAGTATATAAGTTAAAAGCAAGTGTGTGACAAAAAGAAAAAGGACCAAACCTACAGAAAGTTTTTGACAAATTGAGAGCCTTTTTTTAAAAAAAAGTAAAACATGCAATGGGAACAAGAAAGAACAAATTTGTCCATAAAAATAAGCAAATTAACATATAATCCTCTAAGTTCCTATTCTTTCTCCCTCTCAATATCCTTAGGTTCTCATGTTCCACATATTGTCATGTAATAGTACTAAAAAGAAAAAAAAAAAAAAACCAAACCCCAAACTTGCTTAAGTCGAGTCAGATCCAACTCAGCAACCCGTCTTGGGTTTCTGAGGTGGTATCACTACGGAAGTAGATTGCCCAACTTTCCTTCCGAGGAGTGGCTGGTGGGTTTAAACTGCCAACCTTCTGGTTAGCAGTCAAATGCCTTACAGTACTAAAGGTAATAGTAACACCAAGTGAGAGAAAGCAGGTAAGTGATTGCCTGGGGATAGAGATAAAGCTAAGGTGGATTACAGAGTAGGGTACAAGGAAACTTTTGGAGGTAATGGAAATATTTGTTATCTTGACTGTAGTGAGTTTCACAGGCATATACATATGCCAAAACTGGCAAGGTTCACCTCCTGTATGCAGTGAATATAGCTCTTGGTCTTTGTCTGGCAGGTCCCCTTAAAGGTCTAATATAATAGACTTGTTTTAATACAGTAAGCTATATGGGGATTTAACTACAGATTGTACAGGGACTGCTTGTATATAATATGGTGTTCACACAATAACCAAATCACATAATATCCTATTTCACAGACTGTATTGTGGACATTAAGTGATGCATACCTGTATACTATTGTTACTTCTGTTGCTAAACGATTTAAAAATAAACAGCAGTCATGTTGACCCTTTACCCCTAAATACTGTCACGTACATTTAAGAACAGGGACATTCTCTTAAGTAATCATGGGGTAAGACATATTTGAGAAATTTAATTAATATAGTCCATGTTCAAATTTTACCAAATATCCCAATGAGGTCTGTCATAGCAATTTTTTTTTCCCTAATCCAGGGCCTCTGTGTTCCACTAACTTGTCTCTCTTAGGCTGCTTTTGACAGCTTGTTTTAACTACTTTGCTTTGCTGCAAAATCAGACCCCTCTTTTGAGGACGACATTTTCTCTTCCAGGTTCAGAGGTCTGAGATGATCCAACCTAGGTAAGACAACCCTAGGTTTCTCTGCATAACGAGGTCCAAGCACTGAAGAACTACCCAGACTCACTGTAATATTTTGCCTTTTGAGATTCACCTTCAAGGGGCACTGCCTATAAAGACTGTGAGATACACCTTCCACATCTGGAAACAATCAAACTGAGTCCATGTCATCTTGCCTCCTGCCCCCCAGACAGGTGAGTTGGGCCACTTTGTCCAGCCTCACTAATGAATTGCTAACGGCTACAAAGAGCAGTAAGCAAACTGCTCCTTCAGGATGAACACTGCAGAAGAAGCCGTCCATTAGCAAAGAGAATGTGCCCTCAAAGTAAAAAGTGGTTGCATCAGAGCATCACTATGATACTGCAGTTCATGAAGCAATCCATCAGAATCCTATCTTTCTAAGCAGGTGACAAACACTCATCAAACATGAGGATACAGTCCATACTGGCAGTGACCATAGCTACAAGAGAGTGATACTGCCTCGGCAACCCAAGGAGGGGTCGCTATGAGTCGGGGCCGACTCGACGGCACATAACAACAACAACAACCACCTGCACATCACTTCAGTGGAGAGTTGGAAAATATCCCATCAAACTGTATAAACATCACCTCCAAACACTGACCACAGATTCTTCTCTCCACCTTCCCCCACTATATGTTTAAATAAAGCCTGGCACAATCCTAAAAAAAAAAAAGTTTATCTCAATTCTAGGTTTAATTAAATTAAAACACAGAACCAATAAATTTGAAGTTCAGAGACTTCAGTGTAGTTCTCAGAGTCTAAACCTTTTTTCCTGAGCAAAAATCTGTTTAAATATATTTACACATGAAAATGTATCTTTTCACTCATTTTAACTGTCACCAGTAATTTCAGACACTGACATCAAAAGCATTATTAATTTTAACTACGCAGTATTTTTATCCAAGCTTAAATAAGTTTTATTTTTATTTTCATAGTTTCTTTCTTTGAAGCACCTTTAAAACCTCTAGGGCTTTGCAACCTATACTTTGAAAACCACTAACTCAATGCATGGAGAAAAGCAGAAAGGAAATAGCCCAATTTTACTTCTAGATTCTGTCAGCAATATGCCATGTGATCTAGAACTAATTTCTTTTTATAATAAAGATAAAAACTGTTACCATAGGTGATATTATCAGAGCAAGAATTTTAAAACTGAGAGACACACAGGACGTTTACAGATACTCTATCCATACTAATCTAACACCCACTTATTAGTACGACATGCTCTGTGGAAACATCAACAGTAATGACACCAATCCACCTGTCAGAGATACTGTTGACTGCCTACACAATGGCCATTTTTCCTTGATCCAAGATAGCACTCTGATCAGCTTCTGCATGTTTGTTCTTCTCCTCTAAGATAAACTGATTGGTCTACCAAGGTGATTTCATTCTCTTTTTTCCAGTGACTAGTTTAGAGGGATAGGAATGTTACCCAGTTTGGGCCAATGAGATATGAACAGCTATTCTTTCTAAGAGCTTACCGAAAAGTTTCTTTACTCTTATAAGAGCACAAGGAAGAACACATCCTTCTGCTACACAGTGTCAAATCTTCATGATACTTCAAATTGCAGCAACTACTCTATAATTTTAAGGAGAGTTAGCTTGAGGAGGACATGATAAAAATTGATTGACAGCAGAAAGAAGGAAAAATTCAGGGTCCCTGATAACATCACTGAGCTGCTGAGTTAGTCAAACTTTAAACCCTCTCTACTTCTAGCTTGTTTAAAGAATAAATCTCTATATTAAGCTAGGCTATTATTAGGTTTCCTGTTTTAGCCAAAAATCTCTATCACAGTTTTATTATTTCTCAGTATGATAAATAAATAAGCTTAACTTCTGTATTTTAATATTTTATTTTAAAAGGCTTCAGTTCTAAACATCTGTAATCCAACATTACTTAACTTTTAACACTATAGATTTCAGTGGTAGAAGAAACAAAAATACATTATGGGAATCTATTTCAGCAGTCTATCTTAAAATAGGAAAACAAAGCCTTAAAACAATAAAAAAAATTACCACCCTGAAAAACAAAAAATAAGCAAACAAAAACAAACCCAACATTAAATCTAATTTTTAGGCATATCTATGTTTTATTTTCTTTTTAAGTAAATTTTTTGGAAAATTACACCTGCAAATGTCCTTGTAAAGAGAGCTAATCCTTCCAAAAATAAAATTCAGTATCTAGATTTTCAAAACCCACAAAACCAAAAGGAAAATGTCTGGTTATTAGCCAATAGTTTCATTCTCAAGTCAGTTTTACAACCCAAGGAATAAGCTATTAACTAATTTTAGTAGGTAAATTCCAATTCTAAATGTTACTAGAGACCACCATTGTTATTCTCAATTGTGTTGACAATTGTCTTATTGCTGAAATGTACATGAGAAATTTTCTTTGGTAATTTTTTATACTACCAATTAACACAGTTGAACAACTATAAAGATTTGAAATAACTATTTCAAAATTTTAACACTTCTTTATAATTATTTAAATGCAATTTCTAACAGATGCTAGAATAGGAAAGCCTCCAAACATGCTTAATGGCAACAACAAAAAAAATTGTTAAATAATCGCCACTAAAAGTCTTTCAGTTATCTTTGCAAATATATAATTCAACTCAAACAACCGTGGATCAACGTTAGATTCAATTTCAAGATCTTCTGAAATAAAGGACAAAAAATAAATGAAACAACTAATATTTAATAACCTGTCAATTCTTCTGGAAGGTTGTCTCACAGGAATTCAAACAGCTTAAAGTCAGCCAGAATGTGAAATTAATTCTTACTATAGTATCTCATAAAACTTATATTTAAAGAATATTTTAATAATTTTTAAGTTTTTTTAAGTAAGCCTATTTTGGAAGTGTAGCACAGTAATACCAAGAAATTTAAACAGGAAGCTCAAGTTAAGATGTGTATCTAAGAAATCTTTCTATAGATAACAAAATCACCAATTTAAATTATAAATGGCTTCCACTAAATAGTAGTACTCCAAAATTCACACAAGGTAAATTAAAACAAGTTTGGCATAAAAAGTGTACTCTGAAGCATGTTCACGTCACAAAAACAAATGTGATGACGGTTAACCAGCAAAAATTCAAATAGGCATATATGCAAACATTTTAATGCAAATTTTTATGAATAAGATATGATTCATTTGGATAACTTTATGTACAGCTTGTATACAATTTAAAATAAGTACAACTGAAAACATTTCTACGTAAAAGCCACAATAAAGTCAAATTATATACTGAATAACAGTCTTACAAATTGGTCTCTCTTAGGAGTTTTCAAGAGAAAAATAACTAAGTAATGCTATTCTAAGAAATACCCTCTTCTTGATCAATCATTTCTGTTTTAACTGAAAACACATCTGCCAACATATGTTTTGGAATTTCTGAACCCCTGACTTTCAAGGCATAGCAAGCATTTTCTACTTTGGCTAGACTTTGTTTCAGGGTATATAGCTTCTTAGAAACCTCGTAAGGTCCAGTGTTGCCAATAAATGAAAACCCATCATAAACCTGACGTAAAAACTGGCTCACTTCAAAGGGAGTATCAATGTCCCCGTTCCCCACACTGTTAATACACATCCGCATCAATTCTCCAGTTAAGTCAGCCACTCCCAGAAGATAATCAACAGGTGTGACTTTCAGGCTCCATGTACCAAGTTGCTTATCCTGTGCATCAGAGGAGGGCTGGTAAAAAACAAAACAAAACAAACACACACACACACACAAAGAAAATATACTGTGAAAAAGAGTGAATATGGCTCTATCACATTTATTATAAGGTATAAAAACAACAGAAGAGCAGTCATATTAATCTTCTCTAAATGAAACAATCTACATTGCTTAATGACCATTTACTTGTTATTTTACAAGAGAAAATCATGTCCTGAGTAGGAAGCTGAACTAGCTGACTTCAAGATACATTTTAAGTCTACTATTATGTCATTATAAAATCAACTATATTTCCAACTTCATCAGTCATAAAAACTTAAAACATTCTTAAATAAGGTAATCACTTACTTATTTAGATGACAAATAATAAAGCAATCCACACTTTTGATCCATTCATATCTTCCTAAGTCAATTACGTAGTCCCTTTCTGGCCTCTTTTCTTTCCACACTCAGCACTGACCATAATGATTTATTACTGTCTTGCTATATTCTCCTCAATTCCCCTCAGACTCCTAGTTTTCTACTCACCTGTCCAGCAAAAACACAATTTCAAATCAATACTAAAATCTACCCGTTAGTCCGTGTTAGGTGGCCGAGTACTACTGAGTTAAAAACAAAACAAAAAACCAACCACAACCATATACTTTGTACCATTACAAATTACCCACCAATCTTCTTACTTAGATGGTTTTCTCCCTCAGTTCCTTCAAACACTATTCCAACCCTTCAGCCCCTACACAATCTCAAACTTCTTTACTCTCAATAGTCAATCTTGCCTAATTTTACTGACCTGGTCATCTGCCAGGGCACTTGGCACAATCTCTCTCAATTACCTTTACCCCTATGAAAAAGCTTATTTATATCCACATCCATCTTTACCTTCTATCCTCCAGTCTCAGATGATGAGTTGTCCCTCCTCTTGTTTGAGGATAACTCTTCCAAATGACCTTGACCCATCTCCTCCCACCTCTTCCAGGACCTTGCTTCATAAGGTGTGTGCCCTTGGGCAAGTTATTTCATCTCTCTAAACCTCAGTTTCCTCATCTGTAAAATGGGATAACAGTACCTACCTCAGAGGTTTTTTAAAGGATTAAATGAGATAACATTTACCAAGTTCTAGGCATACTGCCCAACACAAAGTAAACACTCAATAAATGTTAACTGTTATCACCATGACCATAATTATGTCAATCTTCTGTCTTCATATCAATTTCTCCCTCTCTAATGGATTCCCTCTGGAAATGGTGATGCCTAAGTTGATACTTAAAGGCTGTATGGAACTTAAGTAGGTGAAGGGGCAATTACACTGTAGGGTATTTTAGGCAGAAGAAATTACAAAGGTGTAAAGGTGAGTATTGTGATGTATGTTTTAAGAACAAGTTAGGTATTTCTTTTGAGAAAAGTTTAAAGTAAAAAGTACTGCAGGATAGAAAGATGGGGCAGAATACCACTTTTTGCAACTTTATAGGTAATGAAGAGTCACTAAGATTTAAGCAAGGGAATGAGAGAGTCAAATTTAGGCTTGATCACTTTCATTGCTCTGTATCTAATACATGAATCCTACTACTGTTGGAGTTATTTAGAGACCATCTGGTCTAATTCCCTCACCATAAAGAGAAAAAAAATGAGGTCCATGAAACATCTTAGAAACACCTTATTTATATTATATTGCAAATTAAAAGGCAGAACTGGAAAAGTACCCAAAGTCTGCTTCCTAATTTTTCTGTTGTTGTTGTTGTTATGTGCCATTGAGGCGGACCCGACTCATAGCGACCTGTCCTTGGGTTTCTGAGGCGGTATCACTACGGAAGTAGATTGCTCCACCTTCCTTCCAAGAAGTGGCTAGTGGGTTTAAACCACCAACCTTCTGGTTAGCAGTTAAGTGCCTTAGCCACTACACTACCAGAGCTCCTTCCTAATTATTCCAAATAACATTTAAACTACATCATTGCACAAAAGTACCTCCTGTGTGTTTTTTCATTTCCTATTAACTAACAGAGATCTGGTATTTTTAGAAAGGATCAATGGGGGTAGTGGTGTGGAAGGATACATTTCATCTATCATTTATAAAAATAACCTTCACTTAGGAAAGTATTAAAGTTCTTTGTTTCTTACCATTAAACAGAAGAAGTTTTATGGTGATAACAAGTAAGTTGATTTTGAGGAAAGGAGCATATAAAAATTAAGATATCTTACCTAACAAATTGTCAAAGGAATAAATTCTGCTTTACCTATATCATTTTAGAAATCAAGGAAAAGAAAAACACTTAAAATGCAGTTTTTAAAAGTAGATGCTGAAGTATTTAGAGATGAAATATGATGTCTATAATTTATTTTAAAATGGTTTAGCAAAAAATATTTAGATGAAGTAAATATGGCAAAATGTTAACAACTGCTAAATCTAGGTGGTGGGCATATGAGTGTTCACTGTGTACTATTCTCTCTACTGTTCTGTACATTTGAAATCTTTCATTAGTTATTTTAAAAAATATGTAATTAAATAGTTTTGACAATAGTCCTAATAGGTAAATTAGAAGCAAATGCCTTTCCCAATCAAATTCCCATAATTTTCAGCACCAAGAATCTTTACCACTGAAAGGAAAAATATGTATGTGCTCTTAAATTGAAAGGTATATATGAATATTATAGCAATGTAATCTTACAATAGTTTATTACCTATGTCCTGAAAAACAGTACATTACCCTCAATTTCTCTGCCTTTTCCCCCTGGTATTTTCATTGTGAGTTAGAACTTGAAGGAAGCTATGGCAGAGTTACCAAAATGTAGAAACTTTCCTAATATTATTTAAGAAGCAGGGTCAAATAGGCTTACCTTACTTCTTTCCGTAATTCAATCTTCACTAGATGAATCAAAATTATGAAGGAATTTTGCTTCTCAAAATGAATTTCCTCCTTAATAAACTCCATATAATTTGAAAAAGTTGGGAAAATACATGTCTTCCTTAAAGTAAGTTATATTTATCATGCCAAATTAACAGTCTCATTTTGTAATATTAATGCTTTAGTTAATATTCAAGAAAATCTATGTATAGTTTCTTCCATCTCCTGCCTATCTACCCTAAATCCTTAAGTGGTATTTCAAAAAGAGATAAAATAAAGAGAAAAAGAAGAAGAAGAAAGGAAAAAAGAAAGAACCAGTTTAAATGTATCTAAGTGTGCTGATATCTCAGGAGGTATCAAAGTATCAAAACAGACCACCTCACTGCCTGAATGTAATCATATGGAAACCCAGTGGAAAAAATAGTATTTTGTTTAAAAGTCAAACTGCAAAATTTCTCTTAACTTAGAAGAGCTACATATTATTTCAGACACAAAAAATTATTAACAGAATATGTGATCAATAGCTCTCAGTTTTATAGTAAAAACTACTGAACACTTTATTTGTCAAGTGCTATGCACTATCTAATTAACCTTTAAAACAATCCTTTGAGGTAGGTACCTGATAAAAATGATCCCTAAAACACACCTGAAGAAAGACTGGCATAGTCGGTAATAGCACAGCTAGATATCTGGCTTCAAATACTAGCTTGTCGTCCTTATTAGTTGTGTGGCTTTTGGTAAGTTACCTAAACTCTCTAAAAGCCCATTTCCTTCTGTGTAAAATGGGAGCGAAAATTCTAACCTCATAAAGTTAATAAAAGATTAACTGAGATGGTGCTTATAAAGGGCACATAGTAAAACCAAAAGCTCACTTACAGTAATCATTCAATAATGGTTTCAGTAAAGAGTACCATTTTCCTCCAACTAACTCTAATATGTAAAAAAAAAAAACTATTTCCTAACTGGGAATCCATGAAAGCATGCTTTAGAAATAAAGTTTCCATCTCACTTGTCTCAGCACTTTTGCCAGTAAGTCCCTATAATCATTATAGTATAAGTTATATAATAAATGTGAAATATGACTTTAAATTCTTACTGTTGTATTTTCTTTTCCATTGTCTTCTGTTGTAAAAATCAACTCTTTATTAATTTCATCCATACTAATTAGTGATCGTGTTTTGATGAAGTGCTGAAAAGAGACAGCCTCCACATATTCCTGTAGCCCTGAAAAAAACCAACCAAAAAAGTAACTGAGAACGATCAGTAAACTAATAAAAACGTGATAGTGAAAAGCTACAAATTTATCATCATTAAACTCAACAAAGAAGGTCCCTGGGTGCTACAAGTGGTTTGCATACAACTTCTAACCCAAAAGTTTTCAGTTTGAATCCACCTAGTTGTACCATGGAAGAAAGATTAAATCCATAAAGATTAAAATCTCGTTGCTCTCAACTCAGTTGTGACTTAAGGTGATACCATGCATTACAGAGCAAAACTGCTTCATAGGGTTTTCCTGGATGTAATATTTACAGCAGCAGATCTCCAAGGTTTTCTTCCTTTGTACCACTGAGTAGGTTCGAATCACCAACTTTTAGGTTGGCAGACAAGCATAAACTTTGTGCCACCTAGGGAAAGCCAAGAAAATCCCACGGACCAGTTGTGTTAACACGTGGGGATGCCATGAATCAACCTGATTTCTTAGCAACAGGTTTGGTGTTGTTTGTTAAGAAGAAAGATGGAGCAATTTGCTTCTGTGAAGATTTACAGCCTTGAAAAGCAATAGGGGTCGCTATGAGTCAGAACGGACTGAATGGCAGTGAGAGTTTGTTTTTTTTAAATAATGCTAGCATTAAGTTAGATACTTAAATACAAAGAACCACCTGGGGGAAAGATGATGTGGATCAACATTGATAATAGCAAGCATTTCTACAACTGGACTTAACTATTTAAAATATAAATGTATTCAATTTCTTCTACTTCACCAGTAGTCAGACTTGACAATCTATTCTCTTTCCAACAGAGAAATGTCAAAAAATTTTAGAAAGAATCTTATAAAGAATTTTAAAAATTCTGGAATTTAAGAAATGGTTATTCTATAAATTTTGATAGGCTTTGATAAACAGCAAACTATCCATCCAGGACATTTGCTTATCCTTAAGCAGCAAAATATAACAACAATGCAATTAAATGAGACATAATGAAATTAAGGATCATTTAGATCATTCTTAAATTTTAGTAATAAAGACTCTGAACAATTAGCTAAGTGCCAAAATACATCATTTGTATTGCTTGTCTCTTCATATTTCAAAATGGATCTAAGATGAATAGAAAACTCTTTTGTGCCTTACTAATTTTTTTTAAAGAAAAATAAACAGTTCCGACAAGATGGCGGACTAGGCAGAAAGATTGCACAGACCCTCTTCAACAAAGAAAAGGGAAACCAATTAACACAGACACAGAAGATAATCGTGGACCCCTGAGCCTTGAAGGGAAGGGTACAGAATTGGACTAAACCCCAATTAGCAGAAGAATTTGCATGAAAATACCAAAAAAAG